CGGCCGTGGTCCGAAGTTACTTCTAGAGAGGCCGAGAGACCTAGAGACGGAGTGCGAGAGAGTGCGAGAGAAGGAGAGAAATGGAAAAAGAGGAGGAGCACCTTCGGGAGAGCACAGAGAGTCGGCTCCTCGTAACACAGGCCGAGACCTCGTGTTTTTTCGTTCTCTTTTTGCGAAGTCGACCGCACGCGTCGCGGAAGACAATGGGGCGCATTGTCTTCCACGGGCACAATATGCGCCCACAATGTGTGCACGAACCCATCTCGCCGGCCCCCTCTCGCGCTCTATGCTGACGGGATTACGACGCTCTTATGCGCGGTGCCCGTAAATTCGGCGTTTCTTGCTGGATAATTTTGCCCGCGTCGTCTCTCCCGTGGAAAGGGAGTGGAAAGAAGCCGCGCGCCGTAGAAATCGATGCGCGGATCGTGAAGAGGGTGGGCGCGACGCGCCGTAATCAGGCCTCTCTCTGTTTTTCTGATAAAAGTGTACTCGCGCGTATCCTCGGCGTCTCGCGCGGCGGCAGAAAATTAAACCGCTATTACAGAGCAGTCCGGGAGAGGGAAGACCTTCTCCGGCTTAAAACTCCCTATGGGAATAACTATCGTGCGCAGTTATCAATTTTCAAGCATGGCTCGCCCTAGATATTCCCCAACGCCGCGGCGGGGGAAATCCGAAGTAACGTTGCAGCTAATGCATTCTTGAGAATGTGTGGTTTTTTCGCCTGCTTTTTCTTCTTTTCTCTTGCAAAATGAGATGACCACGCGGAAAGTTCGCAAAGCCTCCCCGGCGTCGAACCCCGGTGCAAATTAATGTTGACAATTCTGTAGTCTATCGACGAGCTGAAGAGTTGTCACTTCACCTTGAAGAGACGTCATGAGACGTCATGTGTTCACTGTGAATGGCTCATTAACGCACTCTTCAAGGTCCCAATAATATTTCCCTAGCTTTCTTCTGTTGCAAGATGACCGTGCGAGAAAAATTCGTGGAGTTTACCGAACGTCTACGATACAATTCAATGTTGACAGTCCCGTAATCATATCGAGCTGAAGACACGATGACTACAGCGTATAGCTGGGTAACGCGTTCTTGAAAATCCCGGTCATTTTTCCGCTGCTTTATTTTCTGTTGCGAAATAAGGAGACCACGCAAAACATTCGCGGAGTTTCCCGAACATCGCGAGCATCTACGATGACCGGTACTATTCAATATAGATAGTCCCGTAGTTGTATTAACGGGCTGAGGAGACGGCAGCCACGGTAGATGGCTTGGTAACACTGTATTTGTATTCTCCCGGAATCAAGGCCACGTCCCCTTTCCTACGTCCCGACTAGTTCCTCTTTCTCGTTGAACTATCGAGCCCTGATCCCGTTGCACTCAGCGCACATAACGCTCTCTGCTTTTCCTTTCTCTCTCTCTCTCTCTCTCTCTCTCTGCTCTTCTGCAATGCCGAAATCTCTGGCAGATAAGCGCTGACATGGGCGACGGTGCTCCCGGCTTCCTCTCGGATGAACACGACAATGCGCAATCTAGTTAATGGAATTGCAAGGAAAACGGAGCGGAGTGCCGCGCGCGTGGACCGAATGGCCAGTAAAAAAAGCACGGATGAGAGGTGCATCGTCGCGGAGATTGGCACATTCCGTCGCCGATGTTCCTGCGCGAGAAGAACACGTACGGCGAATCCCGCTCGTCCTCGTCCTCCGTGTCTTCTCACGTTTTAACTCCGACTCTCCCTTTCTCTCTCTCTCTCTCTCTTTCTCTCTGATTTCGATGAGCTACGGGTGCAATGTATAAAATCTCGAGGTCGAGGCGAACGTGTACCTTTTACACTCGCTTTACTTGCTCATCTGCACACCAAGTTCCCAACAGACTGGACGCGTCACGTTCCCGTCGAGCGGCCTTTGAATTAGCGGTGCCTGACGCTTTTTGCATCGCAAATTTCACGCAACGCGCGAGGGGCAAGAAATAAAAATGATCTCCTTATTCTGAGGAAGATAGACAGATAAGTGGGCACAGACCTCTAAAAAAATAACAAGAAAATTAACGCAGAAATTATATTAATTTAAGGGAATTTTGCATTTAATGTGTTCGTCCAGAACACATTTACCGGGTGAGTAATTGCCTCCTGTGCATTTTTCCCGCAGAAATCGGCCATTGCGGAAAAATTATTTTGCCCTACGCGCGATGTAATTCGAAAATCCTCATAATTAGATTATAATTACAAAAATTTTTACGACTGACTCCTAATTAATTAATTTAATAATTTAATTTTTTGCGTGGACTTTTATTAACTTTCTTGATCTATGTTTAATTAGTTTATACTTTTATAATTTATATATAGGAAAAGGTAAAGAGAGAGATGGTGGGGAAAGGAGGGAGAAGTTTCTTCTCTCTGGAGAAAGAGAAATCGAGAAGCATCTCTGTCAAGGTGTTGTATTTGCGGCGCGCTCGCGATCCTTGACCCACCCATACACATAAACATAAACACACATACTCGCACACATCGTTGACGGATAATTTACGCGGGAGCGGTGATATCATTCTACGCACACATGAATTTATCGCGTTACCGTCGCGAATTTTTTTTTTCACCGTGTTTTGGGACGATCACGATCGCCACGCGCGAACGCTCACTCGTGGGTTACCTGCTGGGAACACGTACGAAGTATTTGCGCGTATATTTCCATACCGTACATTTATTACGCAAATTCGCGGCGCAAATGCAAACGCCGGCAGCGGCCGGCCGCAATAATCAATCCATTATAAATGCATAAAACGGACGTTTGTTAAGGTATACAAATCGCGCTCGCCCAGATCGTGTCTCGCATACACACAAACACATATGCATATGCATGTATGTATGTGTGCATATATGTACATGGATATTTTTTCCGACCTAGTGTGGAGCTTCAGATGTCCACCGGTGCGGCGTTATCGGAAGAGCTATAGCTCTATCGAAAATTCGCTTGGAATTTTAACGCGGTCGATATTTTTTGTACGAACGATGACGCGTGCGCCACGATATATAGCAATAAATTGAGAGGCCGCTGCGGACGCACCGCGTCGCGTTTCTCCGTTGGAAAACCCCAGGTGGGAATCCGACTCCAGTGCGAACGGTGCATCCTCCTCCGACTCCTTGATGCTGAAGTCACTTTCGTGTTGCTTCTTAACATAATTTTATATATTGCCTGCGCGCAAATATAAAAGAATAAAAAGAGCAATGTGCCATTTGTCACACTTAGGAGGCATTTCCAACGGCTGCTGCTCGCGCTGGGTCCCTCGACTGCAGTTTCCGCAGCTTAAAACGCGAATCTCATTCACCCAGTTTGTTAGTTTCACGCGTGGTTTTCAATTGGCCAGCGCAGGTAAAATGAGAAGCCAAAGTTGCGCGCGGATCACTGTGAAATTTGCGGCATTCCCGAAAGGGAACCGTCCGAATTTGCCATATGTAATCCATTAATCTAGGAAATCGCACGCGCACATACCTATGTGGATATGCGAGCGTTACACGAATATCAATCAACGGCCATCCGCGGCAACACGAAATTCGTGAATTAATACCTGTCAAAGAATCATGTAGCTCCCCATTCGCGCGCGTACGATTTATCATCGTCGTGATCTTTAGCCGAACTAAAATATCCGTCCATAGCTGCGATCCTACGCGAATGTTCGCTGTCGTCCTTTCGTTAATTCGTTCCTAGGGACATTTACGAGCGTTCGGAGATACAGCGACGCGAAAACGACGTACGGCTATACAGGAGACTGCACTATGCTCAACATATAAACTGGTCATTTAGAGAGCCCAACACACAATCCGCATATCCGTGATATTTAATGTGTAATCCGTGTATCCGCATATCCGTGTAATTTAAATTTAAATTTTAAGTCTACACGGGAAAAACAATATGTTTGGCTCACACGGAAATCCACACAAAAATTGTGCCAAGCAGATTCAGTTGTAAAATATGGAGCAACTAATTACACGGTTGCTGCAATTACAGAGCAATTGCTGAGTTTCATGGTAAACATGAACCCAACCAATTTCTGCTTACCACAACGAGATCACGCGCAACTACATTGATGTAGTTGATGTACTATAACTTGATGTAATGTAACTGAGTCATATCAACCATGCACATTACCATCACACGAAGATAACGACGGTGATGCAACTATACTGCTCACGACAACTAAATATTTCTAGTTATGTACACTATATCTCGTTTTTCCGGGGAAATTTGAACTTTCACAATTTTTCTAAATCTTAATTTGAAAGGCTAATAATGTTTCAAAATTAAAAAGGTGTCAATATTTTCTCGCAATTCCAAGAGGAATCTCTAATGCATAAGTATCGTTCTGTTTAGGGCAGGGAAGAAATTATTTTAGTGTTTAAAACAGAGAATTGATAAAGAATTAATAGAAAAATTATAATTATATAACAGGGTGAGGCGAAATTAAAGTAGAATTGGGTACAAGGATCGATTTCTGATGTGAAAGATAGATTCGTCCTGACAATCTTGTCGTGTGTATTTCCACTCTGTTGAGTGTTATTATCCCCTTACAAATTGAAATTTAAGAGCATTCAATATTCGAAAACGTTACTGACAAAATACTATTTCGTGTAGAGTTTACATCATATTGATTACACAGTATTGCAAGTGCTTTTACACGGTAAAAGTACGTGCAAAAATAACGTGGAGTATTGCTCAATATGTAACGAGAACGATCAAATATTTCTGAATTGACATCTCGAGCATCATGTAACGTAATGTAGCGTACAAGAAATAAGAAGAGGATAGCACGCGCGCACGTGATCGTATTAGTGATCGCTCCTAATTATTTGCATTTTTTAAATTTATCCTACATTTTAGCAACCCCGTAACATAGACACCTTACTTTCGGCTCCAACAAAGTGGACGTTTTATGTACGATATGACACTTAAGAAGCATTAGATCACATATCTCATTCCGAAAGAATGAAGTTTGGCATTTCATTTCCGCAGAACGGTGGCGCCAAGGATGGCTACGACATGAATCTCGCTCCAGCCTGGCAAAAGGGCTACACTGGCAAGGGTGTCGTCGTCTCCATCTTGGACGACGGCATCCAGACCAACCATCCCGACCTGGCGCTGAACTACGATCACGAGGCTAGCACCGACATCAACGACAACGACGACGACCCGATGCCGCGGGACAACGGCGACAACAAGCACGGCACTCGATGTGCCGGCGAAGTCGCCGCCGTCGCCTTCAACCAATACTGCGGTGTCGGCGTCGCCTACAACGCCAGTATCGGAGGTAAGAAAAGAGGAACAAAGAGAGCGAGAGGAAGGGAATGAGAAGCGATTGATCGAATTAAAAATAGCCGTTCTCCTCCCAGAGAAAAAGTCAATTCAGTTTTATTTACTCGTGACATCAGCGACACGCCGCGACCAGTATCGTTGGTAAGTCAATCGACTCCGCTCGGCGGTGGGGTTCGTTAGGCGATTAAGAGGGAACTAATTAGGAATAATAAAAAACGAGACTTAAGAAGATTACTTCGTAATGCAATTTTAACGTTCGTAGACGAGGAAAGACCAAAGCATAAATTAATTGAAGAGCTTGCCCCGTAATGAGATCTAAATCCGCCATAAGAAGTTTAAAAATCGCCAAAACGCTATTAATCCGGATCGCAAGTACCGTTCTTTCTTTGTCTCCCCCGCCTTTTCTCTTTCTCGTACCGTTCACGTGCAATTTCGAGAGATATATCCACTTAACGAAATTTTAATTCCACCGTGTGGAACAGATTATGCTGTCGAAGCGATATGAAAAAGAGCAAAGTTTTATATATTGTTAAATTACAGCGTGTTATATCTTGTAGATCGGACGAAAATTGAATAGTACCACGGCGGGGTAGCCCTGTAGCGGATCAATATTTCCCTTTACCGATACTCCTGCGTCTGATAGCCCAGAAATTGCTGCAGATATTTTATGTCCGGGGTGGATTTTGTTGAAATTCGAAATAGGTTGTTATCTACGGCTGTTAGCATTTCAGGTGATGAGAGCGCGCTCGTCCGCTCTCGTTCTCCTTCCCTCCCTCCCACTCTTCTCTCGCGTGGAAAAGGTCTGCGACACACGCTGTGAGCTTGCCGGATATAAAAGTACCGAAATCCCCTTTTCGATCGTTTCCATTTATATTATAAACCGTCTCGCCACTCTGCAATATCTTTGATAATCCGCGTCGATATGACGGGAATATCATACTTGAAAACTTAGCCGACAAAATACTGACTGCTTTCTGCAAAGTTTATATTGCATTGGGTGCACGGAATTACAAATGCCCTCAAAATGAAAGTAGCCCCAGTGCTTGGACACGTCCCTAATCTTGAACATTTTTATTGTTTTGGTTTTTTAATACAGATATTTAAACCTTTAACATTATATATATTAGCTAAAAATGTCTAAATATTTGTATTTAAAGACCAAAACAATAAGAATATCCTGGAATTAATACTTTTATGTTACACAATTAAAGTATCTGTTAAGGTAGTACATACATAAAATGAATTATCCAAGAATTCGTTGAAATTTACACTATATATAGATTTAAATATTATCTAATTATTGGTGCAAAGAAATAGATTGGCCATGCGAAAGCTGAGATAACGAAAGTCAAAGTTAGCACTTTTAACGTGTATCGCAGATACGAAAATGGCTTCCGATAAAATATTTGTAATTCTGATGATCAAACTACATCTAACATTTTTATGAAAAACTAAAGTAATATTCAAGACTAATGTACGGACATAATACAAAAATATCAGAATTTCTGACCATGTAATTTTAAAGATATCGACTTCTAAATGTCCTAATCTATAGTATTATTGTAAGTACGAGCCGTGAAGTGTGACAACAGCGCATGTGTTAGTATGCGTTCGTTGGGACGCGTCACTGTCTTATGTGTATATGTAGTAGAAACAATCTCAATCAAACATTTGCACACATAACCAAGGAGGAACTTCTGCTTTCTACTGTAGGACCGAACTTTTTGATAGTAGTGTGGCGCTAGTTCTATCTTAAAATAAGAATTGGAGGATTACTAAATATATTTGACGAAAACAATAAAAATTTCAAAACTGACACCTTTTAAGAGGATGTTGAACTTGATGACGACCTTCAAAAATAATATAGAAACGATCGTCACTGTGCAATCATTTTTATATTTTTCATATGCTTGTACATACATATGTTACATAAATGTGTGTTACTTTGTTTTAGCACGCTGAGAAAAAAATGTATGATATTTGGAACTATAATGGCATAGTAAAAAGATTATAGTTAGGAATATAATTTTTATAGTAAATGTTATCATAATATTTGTAATATTTACAATATGAGCATAGTATAACTGACCCGTGTAAAATTTTTACCAAGAATTATAATTATTTGAAATAAAAACTATAGTAAGGTAGCAAATATTGAATGGTAAGAGAAATTAACTATTTTATATAGTCAATACAATTGGAATATTTGGCAAATATAGGTATATGTAACTATATTCCCAAAAGATGCTTTACCATATATATAGAGTAATAAGATGGTGACTATAAATCTGTGTTCATTCTACTATAACTTCATGTTTAGATAAACTATAAATATATGTTTGAGGCCAAAACGAACTATAAAATATAGTGAGATTATAGTTATTCCAATTATTTTTTCTCTCAGTGCATATATCTAATAGAAAACCTAATATAGAAATCTTTTTAAACTTTTTCGATATTTTTAATATTTTAAATTTAAGTATGAAGGTACAACAGTTCTTTGAAATTTTCCTGAGCGGAGTAAACTCGCGTTCAGTATGTATAAGCTACAAATATTTTGTATTAGGCGAATATTTACTTTAACTGATAGACTAATTGACACTCGAAATGTCAACTTTGGAATTTTTTTCGTTTTTGTCATATATTGAGCAACGTTCCAATTCATGCTCGCGCGTATTTTTGTCGTATCAGAGTATTTTTAGTTCTGTGCAACCAATGCAACGTAAACTTCGCAGAGAAAAGTTGACATGCTGCCGGTAAAGATCTCGATTCCAGCATTCCCTTAACGACAGCAACTGATCGACGCGGGAAGAGTGGAGGCCGCCGCCGCTCCAGTTTCCGAGTAGATTTTTCAATTGTCTGATTCCGAGCCCCTTTGCGAGACTGTTCTAGTCGCGACTCAGTTCTCGCGGAAATCAGTTCGCGGAAATAAATAGTCCCGCGGCCGCTGGAAATGTCAGGACTGCTAGTAGCCGGTTATCGTCTCGGCTCGCTGAAGAATAGGCCAGGTTTTCCGGGCGCCCGCCGCCTTTCTCGACGATGCTATCGAGCCGTATTAATTCTGGTAACCCACTTCGAAACGAAACGAACAGGTCCGTAAGCCGCCCTGCCGGGGGCAGCTTACGACGAGAGCCGGTGTGAGCGGGCACCAGGAGACCGGGACGATAACGCGAAACGACACGGTGATAGCCGGATCTCCCGATATTGAATTGGAGGGCAGTGGTCATATAACCGCGCTATCGTCGCGGCGAAATTAGAAATTCCGATATAGCCGGTCGGCGAGCGAAATTTCGTTAACGCCGAGATACACGGCAGTCGCGGTGGTAATAGTGTCGCGGTCGGGAATCGAGATCTCGTCCTGCGTTACCTACCGGGACGTCACTATCGCGTAAAGACTCGTCTACAATAATACGGAGTAAGTTTGACGTAAGCTTTGAGAAAGAAATAAAATGGAAAATCTGAAAAAGACTTGATGAAAACGTAAAGCAAGTTACAAAAAAAAGAACCTTTAAGAATCGAGTGCAGTTCTTAGCGCTATAACACAAATGTATTTAAGCTAAATTTAAGCTGGATCTAATATAATGCAGCTGGATGGTTTTGGCTAGCCTTACTCTGGTGTACCTCTTCTACTATATCTACATTTATTTATTTATCTCTGCGGAGCCTGGTTTCTGCTCCTAATGGATTGTGTGCCGCTTTGTGTGTCTCTGGGGGAGTTTTGCGATATTCAATCTCTGCCTCTTCGCTTGACTTGTATAATTGTTTTGACTTTGGGTATATAGCCACATAATCTTTTATGACTCTTGACTTGTATTACCACTGAAGAGGGTCCGGTTGTAGAACGAAACGTCAGGACTGTTATATTTTAATGAAACTCTCAGACAGAAATATTTAAAAGGACTATTTTGCGATTTTGTCTTCATTTATTTTCAAGATAGATAAAAAAGCACATGAGGAACGTATTCTTGAGGCCATTTTGGTCTTCCGTATATGCCATTTCAATATTTCGTCTGCTCTATTTTTGCATACAACTACCAACCGTCGCGTGTAATATATTAAAATCAGAGACTAAAACCGACACGATTCGGACAAATCGAGTATCTCTACCGAGTTTAAATCGTGACAATATCATTTTGTGAAAAGGATATTATAATGGACACCGACTAATATCAAATGGTCATATTCAGTACTCGGTTCTCCAAAATTAAATAACACTAAAATAATACTGATTGAAATTACAGAAAAAAATAACCGGCTGATGGAAAATATCCGACGTCTCGAGTTATAAGGTTTGTTTGCAATACGCGCAGTAAGCTTGGCGTAAGTTGGAGAGAGAGAGTAAAAAATTAAAATAATTTATATAATTTATACAATTAGATCTAGCTTAAATTTTGCTTAAATATATTTGTGTTATAGCACTATAAGAAATAAAATGTATCTATTTTGCTTACGCGCCTATATTGTAATTCTCTTACTTAAGAGAAATATTTTTGGTGTAAGCGGAAGCCAGAGTGTAGGACAGTGTAAAAGCGAAATAAATTACTTCAATTTTATAAATTATATAAATTATTTTAATTTTTTACTCTCTCTCCAACTTACGCCAAGCTCACTGCGCGTATTGCAAACAAACCTTATAACTCGAGACGTCGGATATTATCCATCAGCCGGTTATTTTTATCGGGAATTTCAGTCAGTATATTAGTGTTATTTTAGTGTTATTTTGGAGAACCGAGTACCGAATATGACCACTTGATATTAGTCGGTGTCCATCATAATATCCTTTTCACAAAATGATATTGTCGCGATTTAAACTCGGTAGAGATACTCGATTTGTCCGAATCGTGTCGGTTTTAGTCTCTGATTTTAATATATTATACGGTTGGTAATTGTATACAAAAATAGAGCAAACGAAGTATTGAAATAGTATATAGGGAAGACCGAAATGACCTCAGAAGTATGTTCTTTATGTGCTTCTTTATCTATCTTGAAGAAAAGTGAAGACAAAATCGCGAAATAATTCTTTTAAAACATAAATACTTCTGTCTGAGAGTTTCATTAAAATCATATAATATTATAGGTAAAAAATAGAAAAAACTAGTTTAGTAATAGCAGAGTGAATTTTAATGCGCGTCTCGATAATCGCGTCCAAGTAAATATAGAACGCGCAGAGGTAGTCGAGAAAACACACGAAAAAACGGACAATCTAAACTTACATTCAAATTAATTCATATACTTTGCGCTTTCTATCTTCTTTTTCGCCCAGGTGCGTATCTAATCCTAAGCATTCGTATTGTTTTGGTTTTTAAAAATACGAATACTTATAAACTTTCAACATAAAAAGGATACATATATATTTTCTATAATGAAAATTCGAATATTTGCATTTGAAGATTAAAACAATAAAAGTGTCTAGGGTTAGGTATGCGTCCGGGAATTGCTTCTTTCAACTTACTTCGTAATTCCTATTTTTCTTTGGGCGCATTTTGAACAATTGCACATCGCTGCTATCTGTGAAATCAGACACGACCCGCGCATTTGCGTACTCGAGGACGACTGTGATCGCGGATTGCCTCAGTAGATACAGAATACACGGGCAGACATCACGACAGTTAAGGATACGCGGATGAGCGATCGACTTAGACTTGCATTCTCATTAATCTGCATACGTCGCGCTTTCTAGTTTATTTTGCGCATTTTGAACGACTGCATATTTCAGTTATCTGCGAAATCATTTTGTAGAAATCGTATATTTGCACACTCCAGGGCGACCGTAACCACAGATTCTTTAAGTAGATATAGAACGCGCAAAGAGACATCGCAAAAGTCGAAGAGACATTCTCGCATGAGCGTTTGATTCACATTTACACTAATTAATTTACATACTTGGCGCTTTCTTTTTCTTTGCGCATTTTGAAGGATCGCACGTTGCAGCTGTCTGCGAAATCACTTCGTGCGATTTGCATATCCGATGACGATCGTAATTGCATAAACTCTCCAAGTAGATATAGGACGCGCAGACAGACGCCGCGAGAGTCCAGGAGAGACACTCATATGAGCGATCGATTTTTATTTACGCTCCAATTAATTCACATATTTCGCTTCCTATTTTTCGCGCATTTCAAATGGTTTCGCGTCTCGGATACCTGTGAAATCAGTTGACGCCCTACAAGACGGTTCTAAACACAAATAAATCCTCGCCCTCCAAGACGGTTCTAAACACAAATAAAAGTTCAAACATTCATATTTAAAGATCAAAACAATCAAAATGTCCAGGGTTAGATACGTGTCCGGAAATTGCTACTTTCATCTTACTTCGCGCTTTCTATTTTTCTTTGTGTGCATTTTGAATGATCGCACGTTGCAGCTATCTGTGAAATCAGACACGACCCGTGCATTTGCGCACTCGAGGACGGCTGTGATCACAGATTGCCTCAATAGATGCAGAACGCGCAGTCAGGCGCGAAGACACTCGCATTTGCAATAATTAATTCGCCCTTCCCGTGCCTTCTTTCTTCTTTTTGTTCATTTTGAATCGGTTGCTGAACCGATTCGCGTGATCCACGCGATCCGTCGCCGACGATGACGACGACGAGTCAGAATCATGGCACGCGAGAGATCGGCCAGAGGGAGGACTCACTCACGCACATATCTGTCGTGTTCTCAGGCGTGCGAATGCTCGATGGCCCGGTAAACGACGCCGTCGAAGCCAGAGCGCTGGGATTGAATCCTGAACACATCGACATATACAGCGCCTCCTGGGGTCCCGAGGACGACGGCAAGACTGTCGACGGGCCGGGCCCTCTCGCCAGGAGGGCGTTTATTTACGGAGTGACGAGCGTAAGCTATATCTCGCGTACTTTCCGTGCGCGCGTCCACGAAGCGAAGGGATCAATTTATTTGCCGTCGTGAGAGCCTTCGCCTCGACATTTTATTCCATCACTTCGAGGATTTCAAGCGAATGGCGCGCCCAACGTCGCACTGACGCGACGTAAAGCGAAAATTGTCGGCATTAATTATATACACGAGGATTTGCCTCGTCGCAATTTTCGACCTCGCGTTGACTCGACGACGACGACGGTCTTCGCGTTCCTTGGCCACGGCCGGGGCCGTTGTCACACGCATACACTCTGTACACACACTCTTGCTGAAAATTTAGACGCAGCGTGTTTTGCTTACAACGTAAACAAATTGATTCGGCGCTTGGTTAAGTCGTGTCTGTTTGTTTTTTTGGTTTTGTTCGTAAAAAGAGATATTGATTCGTGTCGGCAAATAATTTGTTTAACATGTAGAGTCGAGGCAAATTGCTTTTTTTTCTATCGACAATTTTATTTTCTGTAATTTTTCGCAAACTAATGGTCGGCGCAGTACGCTATTGGAATAACTTTTCACGTTACACATTACATTGTTCGAAAAAACTCGGTTACTATTCACTTTTTTTGCTCTTCCCCGCGAACAAGTGCTAATTAAAAAAGCGCGACCGCGCTCTGCGATGATTTCTCCCGCGTGAAATTCATTTCTACGGCCTCGGATCCGCGCGAGGACGTCGACGTGAGTACACACTGACCGGCATAATAGCTTTAACATCCACATCAGTGGCACAATGGTAACTAGGATTTTTCAACTATACGCATTGTGTCTACATATTCACGCATCACGACCGTGGATTATTCGAGGAAACGGCCAAAACGGCTACGACGTACCGAATATTATTTCTGTTTTATACGTGATTTTATATTATTGTAAATATATGATTTTATATTTTAAATTTTTTATATCACAATTGCTATTTGTTCTGAATTATATTTGATTAATATTTGAGGTATTATTGTCATTTTTCCGAATAAGCAATAATAATAATCACGATGCACGAATATGTATATACATAAAAATATTGTAGTAAAAATTGCAACAAAATTTTTCTAATATTGTATGCACCATTATGACCGAAATTACTTTATATTTGTTTAAAAATTTTATGCACGATTGACTTTTTATTATAAAATTACTATTTTTACTTTAACGATATCGTATATTTGGTAGATCGCACCAATTTTGCTATTTCTATATAATAATTCGTCCTAATCTCTATATAATTCAGCTTTACAAAAACATTGTAAAAGGAAATATTTTATCATAATTTTTACTACGATATTTTACGATATTTTCTCCGTGCAGAAACAATCTGAGAAAAAAATTCTTGTTACTATTGTGCTACTAGATATTATATCGACTTATCCAAATGTTATATGTCTTAACATTGCATCTAAATTTTCTTGTACAATTTTCACGTGTTTACCTCTAACAAAGTTGAGAACTGCAGGGAACCTTAGTAAATTATACTTTCATTGTTCTGCATTCACAAAAAAATCTCTGCGTGTGCGTTGAAAAAGACTATGTTATAATAACTTAATAATAATACAATTTTCTCTGGTTTGAAAGTTGATTCAATTTAAGATCAAATTTACTCGCCTTAATGATAATAATAAATAAACATTAAGGCATATATACGACATGTAATACACGTAAAATGAAAAAGAAAACGACGTATCGCCAAGCGTCCTGCTCCGTCTTACATTTCGTACAAAGTAGCACATTAATTACACTATCAATTACACATTAGTTACACTATAAATTACATTCCAATTTCTCGCTTCGCGAGAACCACTCGTGCCGCTTCTAAAAAGCATCCCATCGCTTCGCTGGTCGCACTCGTGGCTCACGATGAACATCAGCATCACACGTTCGTTGTTCCCATTCGCGTGCAGGGTCGCAAGAGCAAGGGCTCGATCTTTGTATGGGCGTCGGGCAATGGCGGCAGGCACACCGACTCCTGCAACTGCGACGGCTACACGAACAGCATCTTCACGCTGTCGATCTCGAGCGCGACCCAAGGCGGCTACAAGCCATGGTACCTCGAAGAGTGCAGCTCCACTTTGGCGTCCACGTATTCGTCCGGCACCCCAGGCAACGACAAAAGCGTCGCCACGGTGGACATGGACGCCAAGCTGCGGCCCGATCACATCTGCACGGTGGAACACACCGGGACGTCGGCGTCGGCACCGCTCGCCGCCGGCATCGCCGCCCTCGCGCTTGAAGCGAACCCCAACCTGACGTGGCGAGACATGCAATACCTGGTGGTGCTCACCTCGCGCTCCGAGCCGTTGAGCAACGAGTCGGGCTGGATACTTAATGGAGTAAAGAGAAAGATCTCCCACAAGTTCGGCTACGGTCTGATGGACGCGGGCGCTATGGTCACTCTGGCCGAGCAGTGGACCAACGTGCCGCCTCAGCACATCTGCAAGTCCGACGAGATCAACGAGGAAAGGGCGATCGATCCCACGTACGGTTACACCTTGAGCGTGTACATGGATGTCAGTGGCTGCGCCGGGTCCTTGAACGAGGTTCGGTTTCTCGAACATGTGCAGTGCAAGGTAAGATCGCCGCGCGGTAAGAGACTAGTGACTCGAGGGATCCCTCAACAGACAAATGTACGAACATTTGGCAGCAATTCTCTTTACTAGTCGATTTGTAAATATTGCATTCTTTAGCAGTAGTAGTTCACATACCATTCATATTTATCGCACAGAATGACAAAATAAAAAAAATGAAAAAAATACGACAAAAGTAATGAAAATTTGCCGGAAATAATACGTGTAAAATGTGATATGAAAATCTGAGTGTAGCTTTTAATAAATCTGTTGCATAAAATATCAAACAATTTCATACAAAATTAATTATTGCATCAATTTAATGAAAAATTGAAAACATTGAAGAAATAAAAATCTGTCTAGAAATTGTGTTTTTTTATTTTTTCATAAACATCAGATTTTCTAAATTTTTTATACATTTCTCTTTAAATGATGGATTAAATCTGCGAGAGAAATTAAGAAAATTGGCTTGTATTTTTTTCGTATTTTTATTTCGTCATTCTATGCGATAAATATGAGTGTCATGTGAACTACTACTGGTAAAGAATGCAACATTTACGAATCGACTAATAAAAAGGATTTCTCAGGTGTACAGTCAAGAAAATATCAAATAAGCTAATGAGAATCGAATTTATAAATTTTATAATTATATAGGTTAGATAATTTTACAAATAAATTTATTTATGAACTGTATAAATTTTGTCGTAGTATGTTGAATTAAAATCATAAAAATTAGCTGAACATACACGCAACTAATACTCTGCGTTACCTCTTACTGGCTCAGTTGATTCTTTCTTTCTTTCTGAAATCCGCGAGACTCGAGTTTCATGTTATGAAACAGGTCTCCCTGCGATTCTTCCCTCGAGGCAACCTGAGGCTGCTGCTGACCTCGCCGATGGGCACGACGTCGACCTTGCTGTTCGAACGGCCGCGCGACGTCCTCAGCTCCAACTTCGACGACTGGCCCTTCCTCAGCGTGCACTTCTGGGGCGAGAAGGCGGACGGTCGATGGACCCTGCAGATCATTAACGCCGGAAATCGGCACGTCAATTCACCAGGCGAGTCCTCCCCTCATCTCCCTCACGACCCTGCGCAAATCACACGACTTCAACGAGGCGCGAGCAGAAAGTTCGACGACGACTACGGGGACGACAAAGAGAAACGGCGATTGTTCCATTCGGGAACAATCCCGAACTCGAGAGGAACTCTTCTTAATAACTTCGCCGGCGAAGTAATCTCAAGCGCGGCAGTTACGCGCCGCTTTTTGCAACACGACCGAGTCAATCAGGCCGCTCTCTCGGATCTTCCTTGTGCCCGCGCCTCAAGTCGTCGCGACCAGCCAACCCCCCAGTCTTTCCATGTCATAACTCGGCGATCCTACGCCGACGCTGTTTGCAGGTATCCTGAAGAAGTGGCAGCTGATCTTCTACGGCACGGCGACGAACCCGATCCGGTTGCGCAACCGGCACTTTAACCCGGTACATTCCGCATACGCCACCGCGCGTTATCCGTTCACAGTAGACGTACCGACGGTACAGCTGGACTATCCGGACAACAGCGACTTCTTTTCTACGTCTACCTTTCAGAGCTACCAGGGCCCGTACGCCGGCGCCGCGTCGAACGTACAAGCATCCGTGGCCACTTTGGACGGCTCGTCGGCGCCGTTACTGACGAATCGACTGCCCGGCGACGTCTCATCGGCGTCCGCCTATGACTCGCCCTTGGGGGCGTCGTCTGCGCAAGTGGACGGCTCCTTGGATACCACCAGGAGGATACTGCACGGCTGCGACCCCCAGTGCGACTCGCAGGGTTGCTACGGCAAGGGCCCGACGCAGTGCGTCGCCTGTAAAAATTATCGCCTCGATAAGTGAGTACACGATACCAGGCTCCCCCGCATTCTCCCTGATCGTGTCGCAGTAAGATGGAGTGTAATCGCCGTCATTTGTCTGCCGATAGGAATATGTAGCCCGTAAAGAATGAATTTTTTAGCTTGTCCGCTGATTATCAATCACCCCTCCCAAGCGAGGCCCCTGAAGGTAACGTTTCTGTATCCCCTATGCTCTCCCCCTTCTCGCTATAAGCGAGATTCCGATGTTGCTTTTCGGATTATTGACGCTAAAATGTAATTGGGCGATTACATCACGCGTATTGCATAACGCAGCGACCGATTTATACGCAGGACTAATGAAACTGGAATAGTGAAAACTTAACATGTAATCTTACAATGCTACGAGAGCAACAGTAAGCAACAGTAGGAACGCTTGAGTGTGCCACGACTTTGTATGTGACGAGATGTTCTTTTCTTTTCTTTTTTTTGTAAGCAATGCAACACTTGTGATCAAGCTAACGTTTCCGATCACTCACCATATTATTTACGCGCTCATATTTGGCGTTAGACACTCACGTCGCTTCTCTCATACCTCATACACCATCTCACCTTCATCTCGCGCGACAAGAAAAGATCTTGGAAACACGCGGGACCTCCTATCTTTTTTAGCACATGCGTCAGTCGCTGCCCGCCGAGGAGCTTCCCGAATCAGGGTGGCGTCTGCTGGCCGTGCCACGAGTCCTGCGAGGTGTGCGCCGGTGCTGGTCAGGACTCCTGTCTGTCGTGCGCTCCCGCTCACCTTCGAGTCACCGACCTGGCAGTTTGTCTTCAGCAATGTCCGGAGGACTATTACGAAAGTACGCCGGAATTACACGATCGATTGGCGTTCCCCTAATCCCTCGCGATATTCCGCATCCAGCCTCCCCATCGAGATGTTTTCCCGTCTCGAAATCGAGACAGTGAATGACGCAACGCATTTTCCCGCGCAGATACCGAGAACAGCACGTGCGTGCCCTGCGAAGCGAACTGCGCCAGCTGCCAGGACAGACCAGACAAGTGCACTAGCTGCGAACATCACTTGGTGATGCACGAGAACAAGTGTTACGCCGCGTGTCCTCCTTATACGTACGAGACGCAGGACTACAATTGCGCGTCATGCCATTCCACCTGCGAGACCTGCAACGGCACGGCGGAGAATCAGTGCATCGTGTGCCGATCTGGGTTGTTCGCTCTGAACAGTGAGTAATCACGATTCGTTCTGCTCTCACTAGTGCGCACTGGGCAATCAACGAGATGATGACGCGACATTCTGCGATATCAGCCCTTTGTATGTGTGATTTCATTTGTCAGCTACCCTCTGAATTGCTCACACGTTGGGACAAACGCAAATCAGGCGATACGTTCATCTCCCTTTGCCAGCCAAATCTGACTCGTTTTTGTCGAGATATTCGAGAATTCGAGATATTCGTATCACGTGTAGTACTGTCATTATAACTTGGATATTCAAAATCGCGATTACTGCCCGGGTAATAAATAGTTACGAATTTGCGATGCATTCGTTACTTGTTATTGTTAGGAGAATTCATAATATCTCGTAAAAGAAATAATCTCGCAGGAATGTTATTTAGCAGTCATATCTGGCTCTAGCCAATTTTTCTTCTTTCTTAGTTGCTCACTTTTAGAGTCTCTATAGAATCTTCGTTTATTCGCCACATGTTGTACCGCCACGTTAAGCGTAAACATCCGAGTAGCGTACGACGTATCAATCCCCTGTGGATTCGAATGTCGCAGGCACATGTCAGACGTCGTGCCCAGCCGGCTACACCGCCGACAAGAAGCGACGGGAGTGCGTGGCGTGTCCGCCCGGTTGCGCGACCTGCGCCACACTGAGCTGCACGAGCTGCATTGAGGGTTGGAGTCTGAACAAGAAGGGTCTGTGCGCGCCTGAGAACCGTAGCAACTGCGACTCCAACCAGTATTACGAGGATGGTCAATGCAAGCTTTGCCACTCGTCCTGCGAGACCTGCGCCGGCTCCACGGAGGATCACTGCATATCTTGCCCGAATCCGACGCTCCTCCAGAGTAAACGTTGCGTGTCCCAATGCGACGACGGTTATTACTCGGTGGCGCAACCGTCGCGGCCAATTTGTGTCCCGTGCTTACACACTTGCAAGAGCTGCGTCTCCCGTCTGAACTGCACTGCTTGCCAGGACGGGCTGCAACTGCAGAGCGGAGAATGCAGATCGTCCTGCGCGCAAGGGTAAGGAAACGGGGTGTTTCTTCATCGTGACAGATAAGAGCAGAACCAAACCAAACGTCGATGTTTGTGTATATTTTTACGAGGATGTCTGTTTGATTTCAGTTATTACAGCGACAGAGGCCAATGCGCAAAATGTTACTTGTCATGTAAAACGTGTTCGGGACCACGGCGGGATCAGTGTGTCACTTGTCCGAGCGGGTGGCAACTAGCAGCCGGCGAGTGTCATCCGGAATGCCCGGAAGGGTTCTTCAAATCCAATTACGGCTGTCAGAAATGTCACCACTATTGCCGCACGTGTAAAGGTACTATAAGTCAATCGCATTTGCGCTTCTCCAGATGCCACTCGACTAGGAAAATGTGCTACGTAAAGATGTCTGTTGTAGGCGAAGGTCCGCTAGAATGCACCTCCTGCCCGCCGCACTCGATGCTAGAAGGTGGTCTGTGCATGGAGTGTCTGGGCGCACAGTACTACGATTCCCTAACTCAGCTCTGCAAAAGCTGCCATTCTGACTGCCGAAGATGCACCGGCCCCGGCAAGTTCAGCTGCTCCGCGTGCTCGTTGCCGTTGCATCTGGATAAATTAAACAATCAGTGCGTGCCGTGCTGTACAGGCAGCGAGAAAGGGCCCCAGGCCGAAGAGTGTTGCCTCTGCGACCTGGAAACCGGTGAGAATCCGAACAGAGAAGGAAATCACGATCACTTCACAATGACGAGAAAATTATCTGAATGCATCTCTCTTTAATGTTCGCAGGCGGCTGTACAAACAGTTCGCCGGCTGGCAAGAGAAGGGTACCCGGGACAGAGTTCCTGGACAACTCTGCTGTCCCTGAAGCGTACGAGAACGGCAGAACAAGCAGTAACAATGATTCAGCTACATTGGCTGTGACAGCGGCCACAACCATGGCGGTTGCCATCTGCCTCGCATCGGTCGCGTTGTTTGCGTCGATATTCATTGCTTTACAGGTGAGCAATCAATAATGCCTACATCCAATGAATCCACTTATATAAATAACGCTTATTTAAAAAATTGTTCCGTATTCCCGAGTCATATAAAAATTCCACAGCTTTATATCATTTTTTTTTTTTTTTATTGAACGGCTTTTATATATATAAAATCCATTTTTTATTGCATTTTTACCATATTATTTCTGTTGACTTCGCTGCTTTCTTTCTTCTCTTTTCTGTCCTTCTATTTGCTATTTTTATTATATCATGTATACTAATGAATTTTTATCATTAATAAAAATTATTGTCATATTCAAAAAATTTGATTTATCTCTCGGCGAGATAAATAGTCCTTATACGAAAACTAGGGAGATAAACGCGTATATATCGCCGCTCTGTTCGCAGGCCTGGTCTCGTAGAAGGGAGGCTAACCTGGGATACACGCAGCTCGCCGTGAGAGTAGAGCCGCCCGACGACGCGGACGTGGACGACACGACGGAGCTGATGACCTAAACCTCTCAACAGGGACGTAGCCAATGACAGGACCTCTCCTCTCGTCAAGGAGTCGCATGGAGATCGACGAGTCTCGATTGTGATTGGTTCGCGAGTCAGAAGTTACGTGCTTTCGCGCCAGCGAAGTTCGGGGGGAGCCGCGCAGGAGATAATGGATCGCGACGGGATATATAAGATTCGTCGCGTGACGATGAGGGAAAAACAATGAGAAGAAGACGCTGGTGAACACGCACAGAGGAAGGGAGGAGTGGATAGAGATTGAGGAATCGTAATGAAGGGAGGGAACGGAGGAAAATTTGTTGAAAACGTGATAGTAGAAGAACTCCGTAGAGTGACGTACGAATCAAGAAAGAGAGAGTGTGAGAGTGAGAGTGAGTGAGAAAGAAAGCGAACGAGCGAGAGGAAAAATGAAAAAAAAAATTGTTTAATGCGCGAGTGTACGATACATGTTCTGTAGCTAGAGATATACTTTTTGCCAGTCGTCGTTGTCGAGTGCGTCGCCGATCTCGTCGTCGTTGCCGTCGTCGTCGTCGCACGTACACGTATCGAGACACTTCCGATGCCGGACGGTGATGAAGCACGGAGAGAAAGGGTGAAGGACATTATAAAGTGCCTGATTAGTGACACCCTTGATCCCGCACCCTTTCGCGTTCCCCCTTCACCTCCCCCCTCTCCGACGTTCTCTCTCTCTCTCTCTTTCTCTCTTTCTCTCTCTCTCTCTCTGTCCCCCCGAAGTAACGGCAATGAGGAAACTTCGTCGATTGTCTCGTCGAGGAACTAACGTCGCGTACAAAACAGATAACCCCGAACACCGAACAACAACAACAACAACAACAAGTAGAACAACTTCGGCCGGGCGACAATACGAACAAGCTGCGAGTGTTGTGCGCTGCAACAGTCGGGAGCGGTCGGCCCGTTCGCTCGACAGTATCCTCGAATTGCATTCAACGATCTACCTATCGATATATCCATTTCCTTCACCCAACACCTGTTCTTGACGCAATCGACGACCGTGGAGTTCTAAAGAGAACGAATGTGCGTCTCCTTCTTCGCTTCTCCTCAACAAGCAAGGCTTTACCGACACCCCCCGGCTTCAGCGCGGCTGAAGGGAGATGCACGTGAAGTGGTCTCCGTACATTAGGCTGAACCACGGACCATGTAATCGTAATCGTGAATTATGAATGTTATATATTTGTACAAAGGATAATAGTAACAAGTGAGCGAACGAAAGAGAGAATAGTCGCAAGGATCAGGAAGGGGGAGGCGAAAGAAATGAATTGGAAGAGATGACGAGCGGGGAGGAGGACGGAACGTAAAGATCGAGAAGAGTATGGAAAAAGAGAAGAGAAGAAGAAAAGAATGACGGCGATGAGAAGAGGAAGAGGGGAAAGAAAGTCGGGTCACCGTGAACGCGCGAGCTTTGTTCTCCCACCTCGAAACTGCCTCTCGCCTAATCGACATAGGTCGCAATACACAGAAGAACCAACAGACTCTTATTCCTGTTGCCACTGCGATCGTCCAGTTATCCGACGCGCGACGTCAGTCGTCATTCCAGTACCTCCCAAGCCCCAACGCGTGCCCGCAACGGCCATTTTGCGTTTTGTAAACTGTTTGTTGTTATTATTTGATTGTCTACAACGATGTTTTGTTTAATAGCCCCATTTTCCGCGTTATTCTTACTGTTTCTTCTTGTCAATCGCTCGCGTCCGTTCTTTCCCTCATGTTTCGTTTCGAGATCGCATAAGAAGAGGATAAAAAAGAAAACAAATCGTCCAAGAGACGCAAAAAAGCACAACAAAAAAAGAGACAAAACTGCAGAAGAGACGAACGACTAAAAGAAAAAAAGGGGGAAGAACTGTAAAAATCACACGCAACGATCCGCAGCGAATCGATATTCTCGGAAGCCATCGCCCACGTCTACTCGTGTGAATATTGACTTTCTCCTCGTAATTTGATATAAAGCTATTATTGTACTTTTATGATGATCGCGATTATAAATATATACATACATGTACACACAGATATGTACAAGAGAGAGAAAAACGCGAGTTGTCTCGATTCTTTAACGATTCCTCTTTGTATTACGATTTGACCTTCGCTGGCCTCTCTCTCTCTCTCTCTCCCCCCTCTCTTTCTCTTTCTATCTGTCTCTCTCCCGCCAACATTACCGACCTTTCGGGTTATCATCTCAGGTAAGTACAGCTACAATATTGACTTTAATTATGGCGATGCGAGAGAAAAGCGGGCGAACCGAGCGTGGAAGTCGAGAAGTATATCCGACGGTAACCGAACTCTCGGGGCCATTACGTAATGAAACATTAGGGATCAATTCGTATCACATTCCCGTCGCGACTGCGCAGGGTCCCGAGACGGGACGAACGACGGGAGATCACCGTTCAATTTCAACGTCGTGGAAAAACGTCGCGCTCGTCTATCTCGTAGTCGGCAATTCAACTTCGTGCTACGTGCGCGAACGAATGCCCTTTCCTCGTTTCAGTTCGACCGCCAGCACGTGTCAGTCGGTTAGTTTCAATTGCGAATAACTGCTGTCGGGGAACGTCGACCTCGTGGTTGAACTCAATCGGGAATAAGAATCGCGAAATGGAGTTCTTAATTAGGATACGGGAACTGCTAAATCGCCGTGTCACGCGACGAGAAACTGCACGTCAGCAGCTGGGCGACTCCGTTGTCGGAAATTACATTTGGCCGATTGTCTTACTTCTCCCCCAGATCGGTGAAACTACGAGCGAGTGACTGAGTGAGTGACGCGGGAGTGAATCGTCAGCAGTCACGGCGACGTTCTATTTGCCCACTTCGATCCTCCCTCATGTATAATACATCCGCAGCTTGATATAATTGGCGACGAGAGTAGCGACAGCCACGTCGTAAAAGAACGACTTTGAATTCCAATTTCATTAAAGAAGATTATCGCTGTCCATTGAGCAACCTTCGCTTATTCCGTTCTCCGACGTTGCCGGCACCGTCGAGATCCCATTTTCGTTCTCAAGTGTTATCACGTAAGAGAGAAATCAGCCGTGTGGTCTCAGACAAGGGGTATCTTTAATAGATTACTAAGAGAGAACTAAACCTTTAACTAAAAGAGAATTTCCACCTTTATCAGGAACGTCCTTCAGAAATCATACTCATTAAACACCAAGCGACAGCACACTGCCGAGATTTTTACGTGTTAAGTTTTAAAGCCATTCTACAATTGCATAAGTGTAGTTGTAAATAGTTGTAGATGATTATGACAACCAATCAGAATAAAGCAATCAATAAATAAAACATTCTAATTAGTTGATTCTTACGTTTACGACCACGCTTACGCAATTGTAGAATGGGTTTAACACATTTCACCTAATTTTCGTGTTGATTTAACGCACGGCAAATATGTCAACAAATAACTTATCTATACACGTCGTACGCATAAAATATATACGTTCATCTAGAACGTATATATTATATATCCGTTGTGTTATTTTAACGCGCCTAGAAATGATGAAAATAAACTTGACGCAAAATAATCAAAGCAACACAAGGACGATATGTTAAGTTAACGCGCGTGACTACATTAAAAATTTAACACAAATATTTCTACACGAATCGATCTCGACGCAAATACAAAATGTTTTTTTAACGTGTAATATTACAACAATGCGATTTTCCACTCAATGACGTAACTGTTACATACAACGCATGTTATATCACACTCACTTTGTCGAATGGGAAATTGTAACATTATTATTAGCCAGTGTTTACTGGGTAGTCTTGAATTTTCGAACGCGTGCTGGAAATATCCGGAGAACAGCTCGAGCAACTCTGCGATCAATCTCTTCTTTTTTTTTTATCTCGATTCCCTCTCTTTCTTTTGTCATAACGCGTGTCGGTCTCAAAGGTCGGTACAACATCAAAAGCGAATCAATTACTTCGCTCCCTCTACCCTTCCCCTCTCCTCCGACAATCTATTCGTTCATGATTCACGAAATAAAGCCTTTACGAGATCATACAACCTTCATATCGCCCCGCAAGACCGCCGTTCTCCCGAAGGGAAGACCCCAGGAGACGTGTATGTGTGCGGTTGACGAACGTTCTCCCTTTTTTACCTGGGGATATTGCCGAAATCCGCGCTTGCGAGAGAGAAAAACGGGTTGGTGAGAGAGCGGGCGGGCGGGCGGATGTGGCTTTAATCAAAGTTGACCTTTCTCCGTCGCTCCAAATCACCCGTTGGCCATTGTGCCGTTCTTCCGTCCGCTCTCGCGGAAACAGACGAATGCGAAACCATGTACAAGCCGCACGCGTCCGGAAGCAGGAAATAAATAAGCTTTTCGGTGTGTAAGCGGCGGGTAGCGCTGCGAAATAAAAGCGGCCAGTCGGCGGCGGCGGTGCTACGATGGGGGCCAAAGGTGTTGCACGTGGAATGGCCGGGTTGAGGGGGCAGGAGTAAAGCAAAAGGCAAGATCGATGTGGCGCCTCGGGCCGGAGAGCTCCCTCTGTCCTCCCCCTCTCCCCTCCTCCATCTCCCCCGCATGAGCGTTGAAGAATAAACAAGGGATTGCCAAAGGCTCCATCCTTTCCCTCGAAAGGGATCGTCCGCCGATCCCTTCGGACTTTGGGAATTAATGGCTCCGCGCAAGGAGCACGGTCGTGTACGTATCGTGATCGTTTCGGGGGAAACGAAACAGAGGGGCCACTTGCGAGTAATCCTGTGTCCTAGGTGGAACAGAGAAAATCACGATAACGTCCAAATGATGAGAAAACGATCGAGAAGTGAGTTTTAATACTCCACAATGCATAGCGCTGTGAGACCCGGACAGACGTTCAATTACACGCGAACTTTCGCAGAGAGCCCGAGACAATTTCAAAACAGCGCAAATCTGCTTGCAGATTCTGATTTTTTACTGCTCTGCTATCTCATACAACTTTTATATTTTTGGAAAAGAAATATATTTACATTTCTGGGAAAGAAATGTGTTCAAAAATGTTAATCTTCAACGAAGTTATACACTGAGAGAAAAATTATCTTAAAATCAATAAATATTTCCTTGATGGGTGCCATTAACATGTTTACTTAAATCTACATTCTCTTTACTTAAATCAAATATTGTTTATTTAAATCAAGTAAACAATAAAATATTTGTTGATTTTAAAATAATTTTTCTCTCAGTGTAGTGTTTCAAAGTCCGATAGGTCCACATATTACGCTGTACGTCTTAAAAAATGTCATTGTATACGCGGAAATTTAGCAACAATAATATTAATTATTTACTTTTTATTTTTATGACTTATTTTCTCGTTATTTTGACGTCGCTATGATTTTCTCTTCCACCTGGATATTGTCAGAGAGTTTAGCAAACAATGGAATTCGGACGCTGATTGTCCGAAATACCAAATAACAATACCATCACGTCAATATTATAATTTTCATTCTGCTATATGTAATTGTTGCATACAACATGTGTTAAATAGTACTTCTATCGTTGAGTGGCAAATGATAACGTCGATGTAATGCCGCTCTTGGTGTTCCCCTCACTCGGGGGATTCACTCGTGTCTTGCGCGCATACACGACATCGATCGGCGGAGATTTATATCTTCCGAGACGCCGCGTAATATCCTGACTTTCACGGCGGGATTTCTGGCGAATAAAAGTCGCGCTCGAACGGGCAAAAACGAGATAGGGACCGCCTGTGTCCTACCTGCGATCCGTTATCGCGGGCATAAAGCGGCCGGTGTGCATTTCGACGAATGCAAATGGCGGCTGTGCTTCGGCTACGCTAATGGCGTACGGTACAATGCGCAATGGGCTCAGAAACGGCAAGAAACTTTG